CGAATATTTAGCTGGCTTTTATTACAATAAACCTATTTAAAAATCCCGTAGTGACAAATTCTAAATTACTCTTTCTCTACCTGCTTTGGCCGTCGTGATTACTCCGGCCCCTTAGCCTTGCGCAGGGTTTCAAAGTAAACCAACCCGACCGTCCCCGACTCCGAGCTAGCCATCCTTCTCTAATTTTCATTTAAAAAGATCACGAGTATATATATTATTATGAACTTATTATAGGCATCATCTGCCCATTGCAGAGCTTAAGATGTTGGAAAATCTTCGATATACTACAAGCAGTTTGCATTTTCGTTTGATTGTGAAAGTTAGATCGTCTTTGCCAGTGGTTGTTTCATCCAGGAATCATGAAACGGTCAGGAAGTTGCCTTATTCAGACGAAAAATGACTTAGATGATTTGCTTTAATCAGTTTTTGATCCCAAGTCTCCTATGAGGATTTTTATTGTATTCTTTATAAACAAGAAGCCTGTGCCCAGTGTGTGCTCCGATGGGCTACACTTATAAATGTTTATATGATTGCGCTTCTCCATCGTTCCAGATTCCGTCCATCTCGTCTCATGGAGGACGATGACGTAAAGTGCATCCTTGTCAGTTTCTCTTACTAGGTTCTGTAGTGCACCCAGGCTGCGCAGAGTCCTTATATTCCAAGTCGCAATTCGAGTTTCCTCAATATATGATGTATCTTTTTAATAAAAAGATTTCCTTACTAGTGTCTTTTACAATGAATGGTAAAACTTTAAACTGGTATAACTTAGCGTAAGCTATTGAATGTAGTTCATTTCTCCCCAAACTTAGAAATGATTATCTTGATAACCGTTCATTCATAACTTATGAATGAACGGTTATCGATAAAATCAACCAGTACACTAAAGGTGTCGATGAATTAATTGGAATAAACATATATATTGTTATGAACTTATTAAGATGTTGGAAAATCTTTGATATACTACAAGCAATTTGCATTTTCGTTTGATTGTGAAGGTTAGATCGTCTTTGTCAGTGATTGTTTCATCTAGGGATTATGAAATGGTCAGGAAGTTGACTTATTCACCGGAAGAATGACTTAGGTGATTTACTTTAATCAATTTTTGATCCCAGCTATTTAGAAACATGATGCCTTCAAATATTCCTTGAAACGTCCAACTTTATTGGTTAGATAAGAATATTATAAAGCTTTTTAATGTTTTATTAATAAATTTTTACACACACAAGAACATTTAAAATTCCGATTATTCGATTATTCTTTCTTTAAAAATAATTGGTAAGCCATTTTTGCTTGTTAAAACCACTTCACCAGCTATATCTGCTTCATGATCATTGATTGGATGTAATGTAAAATGTCTCATAATGTAGCTAATTAAAAATTTAACTTCGGCAATTGCAACTATTTTACCTAAAAATGTTAACGAAAAATTATAAATAAATATTTAATGAATTGTGAATTGGTTACCTATGCAATCTCTTGGTCCCAACGAAAATGGTAAATAAGCATTTGCTGGGATTTTGGTGGCATTTTTTGGAAGAAATCTTTCGGGTTTAAACTTTGTGGGTTCTTCAAAATTTAAATAATGGGACCCTATTATTGAAAAGACTAAATCGATGTCACCCGGAAAAACTTTATCACCTAAAAAATTTTTATTAAAAAGCTAATCTGTTATAGAATTAATTTACCGATTTCTGCCGATTTAATTAAAGTTCTAGAAATAAATGGAAATGGGGGATAAAGTCTTAAAGTTTCTTTCATAACGCAATCAGCAAAACTCATTTGTTGAATATCGCTAAATTCTGCAAAAACGTTTTCGTCAACACCTACAATCGAAATGTATTCCTGATAAATTCTTTCTTGTAATTCTGGGTGTTTAGCAAGTTCGTAAAGAGCAAAACCAGTTGCAGCTGAAACTGTATCGGAACCCTTCAAAAAAATGATTAAGAACTAAAATAATGTAACATGAGCAAATAATTACAGCAACAACTAATGTTCGAAGCTGCGCTAAAATTCTATCATAACTCAAACCAGATTCTAAAAGTAAATCAATAAAATCTTTTCGATCATTTTTATTCGGCGATTTCTTTTTTAATTCGATAACTGTTTTTAAAGTACTTTCAATAAATTCTTTAGCTTCTTCAGAACATTTGGTCCAAATTTTATAATTATTGGTTAATTTAAATATGTTATCGTTAATCTTCAATGGGGAATTGATTCTATCGAAATAAACTTCGAAAAATGTTTTCAAAGCTGTGATATAACGATTTACACGATCATCTTGGTTGCTAATATCTTCATTAAGTAATAAATCTAAAAAAAAATTTTTTCTTTGATGCGTAAATACTTATTATATTTTTTACCATAAACGATGTTTAATCCATGTCTTAATAACAACATTTGCAAATCAACGGGTTGATTTAAATTTTTATTAATCGCATCGCGCAGTTTAATAGCGTGTGTTTTAAATGTTGATATATAATCGATGTTGAATTGATTATTAAGTACGTGTGAAATCATTTTTCGTTCTTGTCTCCATAAATTAACTAAAAAAATTTTTTGATTTCAATTTCTAAATAACTATCTAAATAACAACAAGAAATGTTAAGAGGTTATTCAGGATTTTAGATAACTCAGGGTAAAAAGTAATTACTATCGCTCATCATGGGTAATCCGCTTCCTACAAATGCTTCCAATAACTGAAATAAACTTCGTTTATTAACATGTTCTTTCGATAATAAAATATGTTTAATAAATTTTTCATCGGAAACGAGGAGTGTTGGTTTAAAAGGTTTCATCCATATTTTAACAACTGGTCCATATTTTTTATTTAAAGAAACGACAAATTTATAAGAATCTAAAACGAAAATGTTTCAAAATAAAATTAAATCACAAAATTAAGAACTTACCAACAGTCGATTTCGGTAATAATACAAATTTTAATAATTCTAATGGTGTTGGTCCAGGATAATCATCAATTATCTTGTACTTATTTGTTTGATAAAAGTAATAAAATGTAAAAAAAGATATTAAACCCATAAAAAGTATCAACAACATTTCGGATATGTTTGTTTAACACAACTATGGAAAGATTAAATTTAAAGTATTTTTGATATTGTTTGACCTTAACATTTTATCATATTTAAACCTTTGAATTTTACCTTGATCACCTTGATAGTTTAGAAGACTAATTTTAAGGTAATTTAATTTTAATTAATTCAAAAGAAAACGAATAAAATGAAATTACAAGCAAAGCAAAAAATATAGTAAAATATAATATATAAAATATTACACGTAACATTTACCTAAAAACAAATACACAGTCATAATAATCCGTGTCAGAACAGTAGTGGCCGGGAAAAAAAAGTTAATCTGTTCTTATACTAAACACATTCAAAGGCCATGCTCTACGCAATAAAACTTCCTTAATCCTAGTTACAAAAGCTTTAAATGTTAAATTCCTATAACTACCAGGCAGACTATTAAAAAATTTTACTCCATAATAATTATACCCCCCTCCTAGTTTTGTAATTGTGAAAATCACCATTTTTTTTTTAGTTGACTATGAAGTAATATTGTAAACTTCAAACATTCAAAGATATATAATGAAGGCAGTGTCAAAATTTTTTAATTGATAAAAGAAGAGCGGCAGTCTTCAGTATAGTTTAATTTGGCGATATTTCAAATGGCTCTTCTTTGTATACTAAATATTCTTTTATTATATTCTTTATTATGACTCTGAAAAAGCACAAAATCGTGCGCAATACCTCCGTAGAAGAAAATTCAGAAAGACGTCTTAACAAAAAGGCTGTGGAGCTTAAACGAGAAGTTAAAGCTTCGCCATGAAAACTCCAGGTAAGTCCGGAGTCCACATGCACACCCAGAAATCTGAAACTATCATCAGAATCCAAACTTTTATCTATGTGCTTCAGTGAAAAGGTCATTGATACTGTTTTATCATTATTCAACGTTAGCTGATTACTTGCACACCAATGTCTAGCCGAAATAGACACTAAATTATTATTTTCGGTAGCTTTTGTTTTAGATGAATGTTTATTTAACAAAGTTGTGTCATCGGCATACAAAATTGATTTTGCAGAATTCAAAAGTGACGGCAACTGATTGACCAATGGGGAACCCACTATCAATTTCTATTTGTAAGATATGATGATAGAAGTTTACATGCCTCTGGGGTGACATTATACGCGTACAATTTACGAATTAAAATTGAATGAGATACACAATCAAAAGCTTTTGTGAAATCCAAGAAACTTGCTTCGGTGTATTGTGAAGTCTCGAAACCATCGACTGCATACTCAATAAAGCTTTGTATAGCTGTAGCGATGGACTTTCCCTTTCTAAAACCAAATTGTTGTTTATTAAAAATATTACTATCTTCAAAATATTTGATTAATTGATTTTTTAATAGTTTTTCAAAAAATTTTGATAGTACAGGTAATATACTAATTGGTCTGTAGTTCGAAGCCTCATTAATATCACCTTTCTTGAATAACGGTATGACATTTGCAATCTTAAACTCGTCAGGAAAGTAGCCAGCGGATAGTCAATACTGGAATCAGACAATTTTTAACTTTTTTTAACATTATTGAATTTAGACCAAAGAAATCAGTACTTTTTCCAAATTTGAGGGCATCGAAGGAGTCCCAAACCTCCACTTGAGAAAAAGGTTGAAATGTAAAATAATTATTATTAACATAATTAACATGTTCAATAAATAATGACAAAGGATCAGCACCCACTTATATTTTTAGCTAATTTACCTAGCATCACAAAGAAAACTAAGTTTTAGCTAAGTTAAGAGGCAAAACATAATTTTTATATTTAACTTATTGAGTTCTTACATGTATGTACGTACATAATTATAATCCAATTGAATCCAATTAAAAATTACCAAATCATGCCAGACTAGTTCTGATACAGTCGCAGAATAATAATAGCGTTTATTCTCCACAAATATACATATGATACGATAAATAAAAATGTATATATAAAAACACTTGGCGAACCTCAGGGTCCAGCTCAGCTGAGTGTATACACACAAATTATATACAAAAAACTTAAAATGAAACTTCTGCCTATAACTATGACTTATACTAAGGAATATATGTCTACAAACAAAATAATAAAAGAAATTCGCCAAAAAAATTACAAAAGAAAGCCTATTTTAAGTATACATTAATCCACTCGCCGAAGAAGCAATCGCTACAACCCAAGCCCAATCATTGCTTCTTAAAAAGCATTTCAAAAACTGCACATTTGTACGCCGCCACGCTTTTTGATTTAAATACCACCGGAAGAGGGTTATAATAGGCATAAATGTTGTAGCTAAACGATCTTTCAAGTAAAGAGGTCCTATCAGCAGAAGAGGCAATCAAATTCCTATTTCTAATATTGATGGAATGAATATCACCCCTAAATCTTACTTTCCTTAAAAGATAATAAGGCGCCCCCGATAGCAGTATTTGATGAAAGAGAGTCAAGGAGCACAGAGCACATCGGTTCCTCATATTCAACTAATTTAAATCCTTCACTTTGTGCGAAATTCTATCAAACTTTCGGATGCCATGTATATATCTCCTCATACAGGCACTCTGGACTCCCTGAACTGTACGCGTGCACACAGAATACAAACAAAGGTCATAAATAAAGCAGTAATTACACAAAGACAGAACCATACTTTCATACAAAGTAATTTTAAGTTTTATATTAAAAATGTTGGTGTAAGGATAAAGCAACTTCAAATTGCAAAAAGCGGTTCCAATTTTTTTATCAATGCAAATATAAATATGCTCTATACCAAGATTTTTCGTTACTGAGGTAATTGATATGATAAGTTTGCTAGATCAGTATTAATCTTATCTACAGCATCTTCCAGATCATCCCGTTCAAAACTCAAATACAACTGCGTATCGTTTGCATACATATGTACATTACAAAAGTTAATAGTTTTAGGTAAAAACGCAGTACACAAAACAGTAACGGTCCCAATATAGAGCCCTGCGGCACACCCCTCTCCAGGAGTAAGGGTGCGGAAATGGCATTTGACAATTTAACCGATTATTGACGATTAGCTACATAAGTAAGAGTTTATAAATTTTACAAAGGAAGTATTACAACCAGAAGGACGAGAGCAGTAAATTTATTGTCATCTTTAGCATAAATGATATCGTAAGTAATCTTTAGTAAAGCAGTAGTGCAACTACGTTTGAGGACAAAACCGGATTGACACTAAAACAACCAAAACCAAAACAAGAAAAGCGATACAAAGATAAACTTAATTATTTATTATACTTCCTACCGTCTTCTCCGTCTCCTTCTCGTTACCTTTCTCCCCAACCCTATTCCTCACCAGCTTGTCAAGATCATCTAGATCGCTGATTTCAACAATTTTATTGCCACTCTTGGTGTAAATGTGGCAGTTGTTTGTCCAAGAAATGTTTATAAGAATTTACATGTTAATATATTAATATGAATTAAAATTGTTACTCTGGTTACTTAGTGAATGGGTTTTCGCAATGGATGTGCACAGTGTTGTTATGGCTCCAATCACCAACGTCTCAGCTGCCATTGAAAATAATAATACACAAGAAACTGCAAGACCCTCCACGCCTACTTCTGCAGAAGTCATAAAAAGTCTAATAACAAACGAGTTGATGTAAAAACGCAGAAATGCGGAGCTAGCGAGCCAACTATCTTCAATGTAATGAAGATAATCAGCGAATTTCACACTGGAATGAGACACAATTTCAGTATATNGTAGAAGAAAATTCAGAAAGACGTCTTAACAAAAAGGCTGTGGAGCTTAAACGAGAAGTTAAAGCTTCGCCATGAAAACTCCAGGTAAGTCCGGAGTCCACATGCACACCCAGAAATCTGAAACTATCATCAGAATCCAAACTTTTATCTATGTGTTTCAGTGAAAAGGTCATTGATACTGTTTTATCATTATTCAACGTTAGCTGATTACTTGCACACCAATGTCTAGCCGAAATAGACACTAAATTATTATTTTTGGTAGCTTTTGCTTTAGATGAATGTTTATTTAACAAACTTGTGTCATCGGCATACAAAGTTGATTTTGCAGAATTCAAAAATGACGGCAACTGATTGACCAATGGGGAACCCACTATCAATTTCTATTTGTAAAAAACGCAGTACACAAAACAGTAACGGTCCCAATATAGAGCCCTGCGGCACACCCCTCTCCAGGAGTAAGGGTGCGGAAATGGCATTTGACAATTTAACCGATTATTGACGATTAGCTAAGTAAGAGTTTATAAATTTTACAAAGGAAGTATTACAACCAGAAGGACGAGAGCAGTAAATTTATTGTCATCTTTAGCATAAATGATATCGTAAGTAATCTTTAGTAAAGCAGTAGT